ACACACACACACACACACACCCATACACCATCGCGCGCTAGACCGTCACTGTATTACGTTATTCCGTCAACTTGCATATTTTCTCAACTTTTTGACTCCTTATACAATATTTTTTCCTCTAACTCAACTCAAATTTCCGTAATCTTTTTATCGACAAGACGCTAAAAGGATTAAAAATTTTTTATAATTATTTATAACAGTGCGCTCTACAAATTTATCACTTCTGCGTTTTATACTTTTTGTAACAACTTATTGTAATAACGATATTACGAAGAAACAGCAATGGATCTTTCTAAAGTTTATTAAATATTTCATTGCGCTTGCATACAAATTTTGTCAACCGAATTATATAAAACTCAGATGTATATAATAAAATTTTCAAAGTCCTTACAAATTTATTGTACAACACACACACACACACACACACACACACACACACACACACATTATACATTAACATGCTCCAACATTTCATTGAGATTTCTCTTGTTATTTTGTTCCCGTAATTGCGTAAATGGGGAGCAATAGTTCGGTGATATATCACGATGATATATATGTTACGATTATCTGATATTATATCAGAAGAGGAAATTACCATCGAGTCGTATTAGCGTTTACATGGCTTCGGAAGAAAAAAAAAATGGATCGAACGAATCGGAAGGTGTGACACGTTTTCTACGCTTGTTTCGATGAAGGCAAGAAAGATGCACCGTCCGGTTGCAACCGTCTTGCTTTTCCGTCCTTGCTGTGCGCGTTCCGCGATCCGCGCTCCCATGTCCGCTCTCCATCTTGCGATGTAAACCTTGCAAGGACACCTCGTCCAGTGCACCGTAAACCCGTTCCCCTCTCTTACCCCCCCCCCCTCGGTCATCTCCTCTTCCCTGCCGCGCAATTAGCAGCGCAGTTTCGCGTTACTTCGGTGGAATGCAACGCTATTCCGCCCCGACCGCGAAACGATTACACCGCACCTGCGTGTGGCGTGTTTATGTCAAACCGTCCGGTGGCGATGCGCCATTCAGCTCTCGGGCACGCATCTGCGGGTGCTGTTCCGTTCTATCTGAAAGTGACCCACAACGGATCGCTGCTGCTACTTTCCCACAGCGCGGACTTACCGCGGGAAACTTGAAACATCAACCCTCTCGCAAGCTCTGCCACGCCACAACGTGGAACGTTAAAAATGAGAGTTCCGCTGCAGTGAATGATTTTCTTTTTTTTTTTTTTACACTCGATTTAGACACGTGTTTCTAAGAAGTAAAGAGTTATAGATTCCATCATAAATTCTTTGGTAAAGTGTAATTATTAAACGTCTGACGTATTCGTGAAACTTTGCGTTCCTACAACGAGAACTTTACAACGTTTTCTATAAACTTCAAGCTTCAAATCCCCTTCACGTTGTAGGAAGTGTATTTTACAGATAGAAAGTCTTATATTGATATCGGTTTATCGCGGAACTGCGACCGACTGGCTAATCACAGAACTATGCCGCTGAGTTAAGATCTCGCTAGCTACCGAAGGTCCCTCGAGACAGGAGACAGTGGAAGCAAACGGTTGCATTGCTGCGGCGTGACGTGATATCGAAATAATTAACAGTCGCGCGTGTGCATTTACCCGCGATGGTGTCTAATGAGAATCGAATTAATGGAATCGATACGGTCCACCTACTATTATTGTGACGGGAGGACCCATTCTGTGCGCAAGTGCATGTCGCAATGTCGGGGAAATGCGAGTTTTGTCGGAAAAGTGCAAAGAGAGGGAGGACGCGGCGCAATGCGAGTTGATTTCTCTCGAGACAATCGGACGATTAAATTAATTTTCATTACCGGTAATGGCGTCGTGTGCACTTGACCGCGATGCACAATCGCGACAAATTAATCTAATGTCTCGTTAGCACTGCCTGTAATTACGGTTTAATTCTTGATGTTGTATTTTTAATCCCGTATCGCACGCCATTTTACCTTAACCCATTTTGTACATATATTTGCATCGCGTTCGGTAAAAAATAATATATGTATTATTTCAGAATACAATCTCGTTTCACTGTAGCGCGGATTAATAATAGCAAAATATTATTTCTATATAAATTACATTGTAGCTGCTTTTCGTTATATTTGTCCATATCATTAATCATTTCCAAATTATATATATTCAAGGAATTGGAACGTAACTTTTTAATATGTTACATTCAAGGAATTATGAAATACTTTGATTAATTTTTTCAAATGTGCCGTCCAGTAATAATTCTTACTGTTTAATTTATTTGCCATTCGCTTTACATATAATATTGCATAATTAGGTCCGTTGTTAAATTTAACTACTTATTACTTCATTGGATAGCATCTGTATTTAATGAATCCCATATTAGTAAGATATGTTTTAGTAAACTCAAAGTAAGACGATCGCACAAACCTACGCCCCAGGGTTAACTAATTACAACGAAGCAGAATTCCACGTTTCAATTTGCGGCACGAGTATATCCAATTATACGAGTTAATGAAAAGGAATTGTGACAAAGCGACATTTCTACGATCACAGTTTCGCGGTCCTATTAATGGGAATTTCGGGCCAAGGCTCCGTTCAACACTACTACTAAATGTTTCGTCAACATTTCTGCGCCATCGCAGCTGGTAACCGCAAGTTACCCTCGAGCGAACAAAGCTATATTACGTAGACGGTACATATTTGTCGATGACATACTTGCACACAGCGCAAAGTGAAGGCGACGTATGGCAGTAATGGAGAATTATGCGAGAGAATATTTAATTCCTAAATTATCATAATTTCTACAATTTTTCATTATCGCTATTTAGATGTACGTATATATTTGGTACGTATATATTTGTCGTATCGATGTACTCTGTTAAAGAAACAAATTTTCAAAATGTTATTAGACTTCTCCGTTTCATAAAATAGATTCAATTTCGGTAAAAGCGTCGCGTTTGCCAGCGAGCTTCTATTATTTTACTGAATTTCTCGCAGTTGTTTTAATTTCTACAAATTTATCATGACAATATTTCACGATTGCATTGGATTTTAAACTTGTATTATTAAATTTATTAGCACAAGTTTAGGTATAGAAAGGATTTTAGGTATAGAGATTTTAGATACAGAGGATTTTCTGTAGACGAGAAATCATCTTTGTTTGAGATTTTCAATAAATAATTTCGATGGAAGTTGACTTTGAAAGGAAATCTGACGATCGAAATTTTCTGTGCAGGAAAAACGATTCAACGGACAGTCGGCTCGTCATGGAGCGATACGAGGAAGAAGCCGAGGACAGCGACAACGAGACAGATCCTGAACAGCTTCTGAACGAGTGGCTAGGCGAGTTGGACAGCCTAACTGTGGTGAGTTTATATTTCTCTTCACGTGGTTTCTTCGTTAGCTATTTTACGGTCAGGAATCCACAAACAATCGCCGTTGTACTAATAGCGCGTAGGCAGCTAAACGTTCCGCAAAGCAATCATAAATATTTCAAATGTCTAAAAAGAATTAAAAGAGAAAAAAAAATTTTATTCTTCCATAAAAACGATTTGTATAATAATAACAGGAGTCTAGACTCGGACTCCCATGGCAGTAATATTTATTCATCGTAAACAGCATATGCATTGTTAAATACCGTACATGGAAACAATTGTAAACACAGACGGCATGTGGCAATTAATTATATGTAGCGTATATATGTACACCTAAGAGTTACTCGAAATTGCATGTTACAGCAATTAATCGTAAATGACATATGCAACGATTAAATTGCCTTGAAACAATTCAAAAAGAACACGATCTTGGATCGCGATGATTTATTATAATTCTTATTATTTATTGTAATGTTCGCGACAAAGAGAATATACTAGGCCGGATTTAATTTAAGGATTTAATTTCAAGGATCAGCGTTAAATGAAGCAGTGGACGGTGTGCAGTGGTACAAATTTAACGTCTTTAATTGAAAGATGTCGTCCCGATGTGTGAGACGATGTGTGATCTTTTGATGTGTAAGGAGACCGAAGTAGAATCGCTGTCAGGCAAGAAATTTCGATCTGATTAGTTTGAAAGACGAGGCGATCCAATGAAGAGGCAGCTGACTAACTGCCTCTCTTGAGTACGCGCTTCTCAATTGGTGTCAATTGGCGCGTGGTCTAAATGATTCGCTAGTAGCTCGCACGAGAAGTAGCTGACGCGAGTTTACTTCCTTGAAAAGCGTGCGCACGTTCCGTGCGAGTCACTCGAACTGTGTTTCTACATTTCAGATTAGTAGTTAACCACTGCGAAATATGCCGACGGTTACAATTATTTTTACGTAACAGAATGCACGTGAAATTTATTATCAAATAAATCATGTCACATAAATCAAATGAGTATATGAATTTTCTCAATAAATTTCGACGAGATCGTTTGGTTATATAATTGCTCATAATATCGGTTATATAATTATCTGTAGCACGTATTGTTTATTTATAATCGATTACGACAGTTTATAGTGTCTAATATAATTGTATAACACTTGCACGCACGCAACATACTTATTTATTACTTCAGTAATGCCACACTGGCGCTCGAAAATATTTTATAGATATCAGGAAAATTTCAGGTTTTTCAAATGAAAGGCTTTTCAATTAAGGGGAACCTCATTGTGAGAATTGAAAATCATATATTTTCATATTTGTTCGTAACAGAACAAACTTCATATACAATATCTCGAATATTTCAAGAACAAGCATTTTTCTGTTGTAATACCTAGTTTTCGGCTCCTAAGGAAGGACTGAAATGTTCCCTATTTTATTTCCAAATTACTTTCGGACACTACAATGTATGTACGTATCTTTCTAGCTCGCGATCTTCGCGATTTACGCAACAGAATTGTCGGCAATTGACGGTTGTTCGAGTGACTGCGACACGAACTTTGTCCAGCGAATAAAAACCAACGTTCGTTCTTGCCGAGTGCTTTTAGCACTTCCTGCCTAGAGGCTCGTGGCCTGTCCCGCGGTTGTTTCTAATTTCATTAAATTGCGGATAATTGCTTTCTTGACTGATCCTCTGTTATGTAGTTAGTTGTATTAGCGACTTTCAGCGCGCTTGCAAGCGTGATTTTACCGAACATTCCGCGGCGTGTTTCGATCTGCGAAACATCGTTACGAAGTTCGAGAATTCTCTTTGTCGTTAGTTACGAGCGGAAAAGTTCGTACATTTTTATTTCGTAAAAGGTTCTCCCCGTGGGTATGTCGGAGTAATGGAGAAATTTTTAGATTAATCCGCGAAAACGAGCGACAAGTTATTCCATATGTTTCTTTTTCTTTTCTTTTTTTTTTTTGCCAGCGCTTTCTCTATTATTTGCCGTAACGAGATTTTCAGAAACTTGGAACAAATCTTCGTCACATTATTTTGTTTTAAAAACTTTAATATCATCAACTTGTACAATGGATTCGTTTTTCCTCGGCGTTTCTCGAGATACCTGTTGAGTATCTTCTATTTTGCATACAGACGAGTTTGTATAGGTCTTCTCTAGCGTAGCTTGTATTTTCAAGACTACAACTCCATTTCCACGAAGTTGTAGGAAATTAAATTGGAGGAAACGCGCCATGTGCGCTGGATTTGTTAGACGGCGATGTTCCAATTAATATTTTATTAGACGATCTATTCTTTTCATTTGAAATTTCGTTCTATATAGTCATCATTTAATCGTTCTCTTTTCAAGATCAACGGCCCTCGAGTTCAATTTAACGCGATTTAAAAATAGAATAATTCCTCGTGACGAATTATCTCTTAAATCTTTCCGCGACATCCGCGATTTCGGATGAACCGGGCATGTCTTACGGAGTCTTAATTAAAACTGCAGCTGATTGCGAACGCGACACCTCGTCCTCGAGGAGTAAAAGTATTTCGCTGAAAGTAAAACCGTGACGAGTATAACCTTGAACCTTGCTAGTCGCGACGAATGGACAGTCTCGAGAATCGAGTCTAGTCAGTGAAAGATGGATGAGTGGAAGTACGCGAGCACATCCACTTGCACTTGGCCGTTTCGCGGCGAGAAGGTTCGGCGAATCGATAGTCGAGCAATTGAGTGTCATTGCCCCGCCATCGTACGATATTTACCTCACAGAGGGCAGATAGCTAAAATTGCGATAATTGAACAAATATATAGTGTACGACTAACTGGAAGATACTAGCAGATAATCCCTTGGAAATTTTATCAATCATCTTTGTAGTATTTTTGCACCTACCGTTCCTCTGCAGATTCTTTGAAATTTAAATCGAATTATTACAATAGAAGAAAATATTATTCAAATACTTATCTGCTATTTCCGCAGTTCGTTAGCTGGACTTTGTCACCGTGATCACACGATCGTCGAATACTTATTTCGATGAAGTAATACCGTATTTGTAGCATTAACAGTTTTTATCTATGTACGAGATATGAAATTTCTGTAGATCTCATTCGCGTGAAACTCGTAACGTTTCACGAGTTGCGGCGTCGCATCGGGAACGGTAAACAAGCGATCGCTCGTCCCTGGGCTTCCTCCTCGCCCTGTTGCTCTCTTCTTATTTCACTTTTATTTCGAGATCGCTCTATGGGATGTAACGAGAGACGCGAGAGTGGGAGAAAGAGAGGATGGGAGGAAGAGAAAGAGCTCGAGAGCGAGAGCTTTTGCTTGCACTTGCACTTGGCGATGCATCGGAGGTCGGTCAAGGCGCCTGTACAGATCGATAACCTGGCAACGCGGAACGGATAACGTTGCAACTGTGGTCGCTGACCCCTACGTCAGCATCACAGAATATTCGAGAGAGGAACAGTTGGAACAGAACGTGCACTGGTACATTTTGAGAAATCGTTAGGAATTACCAAATAGTCAGGTTACCATCGTTTATCGTCTTGCACTTTGGAACCTTAGTCTCCTTATAAAGTATCTCTAAAGAGAAGCGAGATGAAAATCTCGAAAAACTTGGGATTCAATACACAATTGTTTTCTACCGATCTTCCAATAAAAAAACGAGAAGCCCGGTTGAATTAACTGTTAAACTATGCGCATTTTTGAATTGAATGGAATACGCCGGACGGAAGGATAAAGCTCATAAAATACGGAATATCTATCTTTTGCGATCTCCGCTTCACGGAAATAATATTTTTTTCGTTATACTTTTTTCGCATATTCCATGAGTTATTCGCGATGATTAGGGCGTTACGGTGTTGAGCATTATCATGCACATCGGCTGGCCGTTCCGTCGACGAAACGCGCGTTGGGATATGATTCGCGTATCGGGGACGTAACATAACGCGAGCCAGTCCGAGGTGTCCAATTTGCAGTCACATTCCGCTCTCGGGGATCAGGGCATTTTACGCGAGGCGTTGCAAATAAAATTATCATGGTTCGCTAAATTGCGCAATAGTTTTTCGCTACTTTAATCGCGTAATAATTTCTCCTATTTTAAATAGACAGTAATTTGGCGACGATTAAAAAATAGTGCGATCTGTGTTAATTTAATATAGTAATAATCTACAAGATAATGAGAATGGATAACCGATTTATTTATATTTTTCTTTCATGAAAGCAATTTAATTTTATGACAATGTTTTAATTGCAATGCACACACTTTTGCAACTGGCTTATGAAGAGTGTGAAGTTTTAGATTTATTCGCTCATTTCTTTTTTGTTTTTACGGATACTGTTACGGTGAAGTTTTTTCACGACACAATGAACATTCTTATTGTTTAATTTAATTTTTAATTTGGCAAAGAAGTTTTGCTTATTACATTTTCATCAGCAATTTGTACGAGTGCCTGAAATTATTTTCTGAAGAATTGGTTGAAGTGTAGAATTTTTGACGGTAAGTGCATCAAATCATTTTTAAAAATCTTTGACGATTGTGTAATTATCTCTTACGTCATCTAGCTATCATCAAAAATGATTATCTTGGGAACTGTTGCTACCCTTGCTCCATACGTTACCGACAACAGGCAGTTTCTTGTCGCGACACTGGTAATGCAGGTTTCAGCCTTAACATATCTCTCTCTCTCTCTCTTCATAGTTTCACGATTGGAACACGTGTGGAGCTGATATCTTCATCAGAAATGAAGTGTCGTTCGTTATGAAAGAATTCTTGACGATTACGCAGGGGTGACTGATCCGCACAGTCATTTGAATTTATAATTAGCGACCTGTGGATCCGGCTTCAATATGCGGATATTTGTATATCAAATATGCTCATATTCAGACATTTTTATGAACAATAAATATTTGAGAGAAAGATACTTAATTTAAGAATAATGAGTAGAATAGAAATAAAAGCTACATTCTATACATTTTTTAAATAGATTGAATAGGAAAAACTATTCATATTTATAGTGAAA